ATAAATATATTTTTTTTCATAAATTTATATTGAAAAAATAAATGTTGACATTTAATTTATCAATTATATAATTAAATTTATCAACGTAGTAATAACACTAAAATTAATGTCAGTTTTTACATTCTTCGATATAAATTAATGATAAAAGGATATAACTAAGAGTAAAAATTAGAATGTTTTAGTAATTTAAATGTTAAGACTTTTTGTAAAATTATTTAAATATTTTTAATGAACATTTTTTTGTTAATTCACTAAAGGTACTTTATTCTTTACATTATCATTTTTGGTATTTTAATTGCATTTCAAAATTTTTTAAAAGACAATTAAAATACCAAAAATGATAAACACAAGAAAATATTTATTAAAGGTATTTAAATAATTTTACAATGAATCTTGACATTCAAATGTTAAAAGATCCTAATTTGTGCCCTGAAAAACATTTTTTTGTCATTAATTTATATTGAATGCAAAAGTTGGTGTTAATTTTAGTATCATTGTTACATTAATGAATTTAATTAAATAATTGATAAATTAAAAGTCAATATTTATTTTTTTAATATAAATTTATGATAAAAATATATATTTATTACATTTTTAATATTTACCTTAGGAACAAAAGTTAGCAAACCCTTTCATAATACTCCCTCCATTTATTTTTAGTAGATTTAGTTTTTTTGTCTGATAAAAATAAAGATGTAGTAATTTATTGATAAAATTTTATATTTATATCTATTTAAATATTATTTACATAAGACTTTTTATATAATATATGTTGTAATTATCTTTTTAAAATAAAAATAAAATAGAAATAAAAACATTAAATGACATCCTAAATTTGAAAAGTGAATAGCTAAATTTAAACTCATCGAATAGAAAATTAAGGCAAATAAATTTGAATGAAGAGAATAATTAATGAGAAAAATAAACAACTTGTTAAAAAATTTTTAATTAATTAAATAATTTAATTAAATTTAAAAAGTAATTTATAAAGATCATTGAAGTAAAATGTATTATTCATTAAAGGAAAAAAAAATGTCATTATTTTAGTAAAAAAAAAATGTCACCTACACATATAAATGTTATATAAAATTAATTAATTAATTTACTAAAAAAATTCAATTAATTAAAAATATATTATCCCTTGAAACAAATGAAGGCAAGAGAGAAATATGTAAAAGCGTTGAATGCCACGTAAGCTAGTAACAAACGACGTCCACGGAGTCAATTAGCGGAGGGGCTGATTTGCACCAAATGTGGGGTTGGGGGGCTTATTTTGCCCTCTTTTTAGTTGAGGGGCTTGTTATTTTCTGTTGAAAAGGTTGAGGGGCTTAAGAAGGGTTTTTACCGAATTCTCCAAATTTTACGGGTAAACTAACGTAGCTTGTCCCTTAACTTTCAATTCTTGTGCACTTTGAACCTTAGCTTTAATTGGTCCCTAATTTTAACTATTTTATTACAATATAGTTCCAAAACTTTTGAAAGAGATGTACTCAAATCTTAAAATTTCCAATTTTATGCATTTCAGTCCTTCTTTGCACAAATATAAAAATTATATAAGTTTTAATAAAATTACATTCAAGTATTCAACTTGTTTAAATATAAAAAATAAACATAAAATAGTAAACTAAAACTAGAAAATTCATATCATCAAAGTATACAACAAAAAATGTTTTTGATACCTAATTTGAAATTCTATAAAGTGTAACGATTAAAGTAGTGAAACTATAGAGAACATGGGTATGACTTGTGAGTGTAGTGTAAATGTGATTGTGTGAATATCATAAACTAATGATAACTTGGGTGATGTTTCTATGACTATAAGTGTATAACAAGTAAAATGAGGCAAACATCTGTTATTTATCCTTTTTTTTTTAATAATGTTGTTCTTTTTCTTTTTCAATGTGATGAGTTATATGGATGTAGTTAACTAAATGTTCTCTCTATTTTTAGATATCACAAATTAGGCATTAAATATGTGATTTGTCAATTTATTAAATGAATTTTATATTTTTTTTAATTATTTGGCCTTAATTTGATTAATATTTTGAATGATTTAAAAGTGATTTTATTGAATTTTACATGATTTTTATTATTTGTGAAAAAAGGCTATAATTCATGAAATTAGAAATTTTGGGATTTAAGTGAAACTCTTTCAAAAGTTAATTTATACTAAATTGCAATAAGAAAAGTTAAAATCAGAGGCCAAATTGAATAAATTTGAAGTTTTGAGGATCAAATTGCACAAGAACTAAACGGTGAGTGACCATAGTGTCATTTTACCATTAAAACTTGGAGGTTTTGAACGGATAGACAAAGAGTGTTATAACGATCCGTCGACAGAAGGATGATACTTGACCTTTCTTCCAAGTTAAGGGATTATTATTAACGATCTGTCAACATCCCTTTAAGCCATATAACAAGCCATAGAATTTAAATACAGTTCTAGGGATCAATACTCCTTCACAATATAACATGATCCACTAGCAATAACTCAATTTTGGCCTTAATAATGTGAGGGTTTGAATAGCCGTCACCATGCTCATATACGAAATCTATCACACGAGCAAAATTTAAAATTCAAGTGAGTATAGGCATGGGAACAACTACTGGTTTCATGAACCCTTCATTAATAGCCTTCCATGCATTCACAACTTCTTTTCGAAACAGCTTCACAATCTCTTTCTTTGAAACACCATATTGCTTCGTATAGCATTCAACACCTAATGCAACATGATCTTGTGTTTGCTCAAACTGCATTTGGTTGGCAAAGGAATTAGTTGTTAATTCTCAGGAGTGTTTGAACACATACCAAAGTTAATTAACCCCCATAATTTAAATTTGAAATTAATGAGAACCAAATTGATTGACGCATTGTGCATATCATGTGTGACAATATCATCCATGAGTCTACTGATAATTGTGGAAGCTTTAAGCATTTTAAGAGTATTAGAGATCCAATCAAAGACCTCCTTAGTTGCAACTTCTCCCATGCCAACAAAGGAATTTGTTATGAGCATTGGATAAGTAGAGGAAATGAGGGCAACCTGCATGTACTCCTCCATAAGTGGAACGTAGCTCTCTTGACACCAATGGCTTCAGCAAAGTAAGCTTTCACTATTCTCTTCATCTATTTGTAAAATTCAATTACACATATGAAAATAACAAAGAATCCAAAATCCCCAAAACATGAATTAAATCATTCATATGCCAATTAGTTACTTACCGACTCTTTTGCATAATCCCCAACATATAATCTTCCTTCTTTTGCAACCTTTGCCTCCATTTCACTATAAACATTTAGGAGTGCTTGATATAACAATTTCATATATTCTGGAAGTTGATCTATGACACCAATGTCCCACCTAAAAGTCAAGGGATCAAAATTATGAGTTCTAATAATTTAAAATCTATGAATATATTCCAATAACTAGGTTCTAAAACTGCACTACATATAGTTTATTTGAACTATATCTTTTTAGTAATTACTAAATATAATAATATTAATTCACAATTAAAATTAATTTTTAATTAACAAATATAAAAGTTAATAGTAATTTATTATAAACAAATATTT